ATAAACTAAATAATAAAGTGTGATAATACTGTTATATTTTAAAATTAAAGGGAAGTATTAAATACAATTACTTTATAGTAAACTTAAAAATAAAATGTTAATATTTACTACTTTTTTTGTAATTTTCATCATCTTTGAACTTAAAATCAGCAGGCTTTTATTTTGGCGGGTTGCCGGCAAAGTAAGTATATGCGCTTCCAGGTTTGGAGCTGCCGATTGAAGAACGTCAGTGAATGACATGTCACAGTTTTGCATTGTGCTTTGAAAAAACGGCAGCGGATAGCCTAGATTTATGCTTTCAGTTTGAATAGAAATCTTATGCAGTACAGTTTGTCGATCTAAAATGGTGATTGTGCATTAACAGCTGTCAATCATGTCGGTACACAAATGCGCTGTCAGAACTTATTTACACGGCGCATTTTTTTTTTGGTCGTGCATGCCGACCTGCAGAACACTTATGTGCCCCCCTGTGTATAGGCATATTACATGTATTTTAACAGTGTTGTTATTATTATTGCCTCATCGTTAGTTTATATATAAATAGTCATACTAATGCATGGTTTTCACTTAGGTCTATTTGTGTTACTAAAAAGTATCAGATTACTCAATTGTCAAAATAATCAGTAGATTACTTGATTACCAAAATAATCATGAGTTACAGCCCTAGATTAGTTAAAATATTTCAAAATACAACTGCATTGTTTTACTTTTTGCGATTTAAAAGACAAAAAAAAAAAGTAAATTCTTAAAAATAATATTAAAATATCATCTCGTTCTAGTGAACCAAGTATCTGTATTTTGTCTCATCTCGTGAGCTAAGTGTATTGTCACACCCCTAGTGTCGAGAAGCGGTGATATAGCTCATAATTTTACAAGTGTATGATATAGCTGTCATTCTTCAGGTCAACCATATATTCATGAAAAAAAAAATCAGTTTGAATAAGGAAAGCGATAACTTTAGCAACTTTAACATTTGAAAGGATACTATGGCACAGTCATTGCATGTTTGCATGTGCTGCCCCCCTGCCCCGCCCCCCGGAAAAAAGTTCAGGCTCAGGTTTTTTTTTTTTTTTGCTTTAACCCCTGTAATCTGTTATTGGGCGAAATATGGGTTATTGGTCTCTGGCTGAATTTTAATATTGGTGCATCCATTTCATTCTGAAATGTAGCCACGTAAGTGACCATAAGGGATGGGACAAACAGAGAAACCAGATGGACAACATCCCAGAAGGAGACCATGGGGACCAAAATAAAGTGGGTCGACTTTTTAGCTCTGTGTTAAAATATTATATGCTTGTTAAAAGATAACTTGATAGACAAGCTTGATACAATAATGTTATATCCATTTGAATTCTTCATTTCTCTTTCAGTCTGATCCTTCTGTGACCTCCCCTGTAAACCAAGGCCCTGAGGGGAAAGGTCACGTAGGGGTCAATGCCCAAATTCCATCCCTCCTTTCTATGCCAACAAGAAATCACATGGATATTACCACTCCCCCTTTACCAGTGGTGGCACCAGAGGTGCTACGAGTCGCTGAGCACAGACACAAAAAGGGCCTCATGTACCCATATATTTACCATGTGCTTACCAAGGTCAGCTTTTAGTTACTAGCAACTCAGCTGTAACTTTGAAACTACTCCTTGTTAAACTGTTATGGTTGACAATGTTTGATGGTTATTTTTTGCAGGGTGAGATTAAGTTATCTGTCACCATAGAGGATGAAGCTAACAAAGACCTGCCCTCTGCGGTGCAGCTGTACCGGCCAGTACGTCAATATGTTTACGGGGTGCTCTTCAGCCTGGCCGAGGCCAAAAAGAAGGCAGAGAGACTCGCCATGTGGAGAAATCGCTTCCCCGATTGTGAGTACCCAGCTAAATTGAACAATCCAACTTTTTAAACAATCATAAGTATCACTAATAAGGAAAACTGTAACACCTCTCTGTGTTTTTGATAAAATGCTTTGGAACCACCAGTTTTTGTGTTTTCGAAGTACCAATGCAATTTGGTAAGCTATTGGCAATTTGGCCAATTTATGAATTGCAACATTGTTACATAACCTTCATGGAGTGACCATCTGTTTAATGTAATTAATATTCATGAGCTAGACCTTTACCAAATTTACAAAAAAGCCAACATTTTGAAAATATTTCGGAATAAATCTATCTACATGAAGTATTGAAGCAGCATCACAGGATTTTGCATCTTCCCTAATGGTATTATTCAGAAATTTCAATTATAGGTTGTCCAAATTTTGAATTTGTCTACTATTATATTAAACGATTTCATGAAGTTGTTATTGAAATGTTAAAGTTCAAAAATGTTTAATTATATTGTATAATTGTATACATTTTTTGCCAAATGCATTAAAATATTTTAAAAATTATGAATGTATTATTATTATTAATATTTTTTGGCATGAATATAGCCTTTGATGCAGATATGGAGTTAAAAAAAAAAAAATGAGTAGAAAAATAGCTACTCACACCTGGGATAAATCTGCATTTAAATTAGTAAAAAAGACTAGCTTGTATAGTCATAATATATAGACTGTTCTGAATTTTTCAAGCACAGGAGGTCTAAATATGCTGATAAATGTTACAATTATTTGATTCCTGCATGTTTCAGAATTGTTAAAGTTATTTTGACATACTTGGAATCTGTTCTCATTTCCCAACTTTTTTTAAAATTGAGATTTAATAATTCAGAGAGTGCACTTGAGTGTTGACATTAGCTTGTTATTCTAGGCTGTAACTGGGCAAATTAATTTCAATAATTAGCATCATTCAAAAACTAATATTAGCTGTTAATGTTGACATTCTTTTTTTTTTATTAAATTAGAATACAAGATATGAAAATAGAAGAGCTAAACACTGTTATTCAGAATTAAACATTCCATTCATTTTTTTTTTCATTAAAGAAATTTTAGTTGAACCTTTCAAGGCAGATCTGTTATGAGCTTGGGAGTTAAGCAACATTATACTATTACTACATGACTAGGCAAAAAAGATTAATTGCCAAATTCACAGTGGAAAAAAAAACTTGACTACCCATGATCCACCAATCTGAATATTTGGATATTTCCAAAAAACTATTTGTATTATAATATCAACTGATATTTTAATGAGGGAATGTTTTTTAAATGTCTTTGGCAAGTTCCCCAGTTAAGCTTTTTTGATCTGTCTTTGTAGATCCAACAGTGATTATAAAAGAATGGGCTGCTTACAAAGGCAAATCTCCACACACCCCTGAACTGGTGGAAGCTCTTCCCTTCCGGGAGTGGACCTGCCCAAACCTGAAGAAACTCTGGCTGGGCAAGGCAGTGGAGGACAAGAACCGGAGGATGAGGGCTTTCTTGGCCTGCATGAGGTCAGACACTCCAGCTATGCTGAACCCTGCCAATGTCCCCACACCTCTTATGGTGCTGTGTTGCGTGCTACGGTGAGAATCGAAACAATTTTGTAAGACATAAAAAACATTGTGGAATATTGTTAAATGCTTTCCTAGAATTACAAATGGTTTAATCCATTGCAGAAAGGGCCTTCAGTATCAGCTCTCCAGCTCTTGTTTTTTCACTCCTTTGTGTTTTACTTCAGGTTTATATTACAATGGCCAGGAGTAAGAATTTTGCGTCGTAATGAACTTGACGCTTTCCTAGCTCAAGCACTTTCTCCTAAACTTTATGAGCCTGACCAGCTGCAGGACCTGAAGGTGATTTATGTGGAGAATGATGCATGAGGAGTGTCCAGAGAATACCCACAAACCCACATTCCCGTTCACATCAAGGCATATGTGACTAAACATCATGAACAAAAATACTCGCAAAAAGTTGAGCGCAAAACTACTCGAACAGAATCTGCCGACAAATTTGTCATTCTCTACAAAAAGAATAATAATACCTACATTTTGTCAACTGAACATGAAACATGAAAATTCTAAATATCTGCAAACAGTTGTTAGTATGCAAAGCTATTTGGCCAGTATGATAACGGTAACGAAAGTAAAGTTTACTATAATCAGAATTACTTCATATAATTGTTTTAAGTTTGGATACCTGAATTAATTTTTTGGTATCCAAACTAAAAAAGTTTTTAGCCTCTGAAGATTTTAATTTCATTTAAAATATGAAATTAAATTATTAAATAAATATTCTGTTAAGGAGTTAATAGATAAAATATTTGTTTTAAAGCTTGTGTATGGTGTTTCACATTCAGATTTGGTGTGAATGGCCTACATTTCTTTCCAGTTTATTTAACAATCTGGTAAAGATATGTTTGTATTTTAATGTATTTAAAGCAATAAGCCTCTTGTTTCAAAAAGTGGGGTTTTAGGTATTTTTCTGGATACTTCTTACTTTGTAAGAACGCTTGCCAGGCTGATTGGCCTTAATGCTTTGTAAAAGCATGTTTTCATCTGATAGTCGGCTTTGCGGGAAAAGACATGGCATTTGAGCAACCTGAGTGCTAGGAATGTAGTCTTTTTGTGTAGATGGTTTACTTAGCTAGCTGAGCGGCTTTTTTCTGCTCATTTCAGTCAGTGTGACTGTGAGCTCATAAAAACATGTAAACCATCCACACAGCAGGCTGTGCTGTGTCGTGGCTGTCCGTGTCTGTCAGTTCTGTCATTCTGTCATTTGCTTTGCTGCTGCCATTGCTGGTTGCTCTCAATGGCTGAATTGGCTGGAGGGGTTCGTGCATTAGTCTACATGTATGGATAGATTTGTTCATGCTTGCTTTGTGCTTTGGCTGAGGGGGAAGGGGTTGTAATCTACTGGGTGGTTTAACATGTAGCTGCTTATTTAAACGTAAGAGCTTTGTTTGACTGTCACTGCATCTGTCGCCACCAGATTGATAACCTGGATCCACGCGGCGTTCAGCTGGCTGCTCTTTTCATGAGCGGCATGGATATGGCGCTGTTTGCCAATGACGTGTGCGGGCAGCCCATTCCCTGGGAACACTGCTGTCCGTGGATGTATTTTGACGGCAAGCTGCTACAGAGTAAACTCATCCGGGCCAGCAGGGACAAGGCCCCACTTATTGACCTCTGCGATGGTCAGGTACAATCGGCACAGCACCACTGCGTTTATTTACGTGCATAAGAGTCTCAAAGCCATTACAGAATGATTTAACACCGACCTCAAACTGACACACCAGATTGAAGTACTACAACAGAAAAGATTGATGATAGAACTGTGTGATAGGGATGGATTGAAACCAATTATGGCTTCAGTACACTACCAGCCTCTAGTCCTTTTTTTTTTTAGATTGAGACCAATTTTGGCTTCGGAATAGGTACACTAGCAGACTTTGGTACTTCATTATTGATACTAATACCTGAGGCAACAAATAAACAATCTTGGGTGGCTGAAGAAATTCAAGCAGGGCTGTCAATAGATTTAGTAATTCCAGGTCAATAATAATGATTATTATTTTTTTTTTTTTTATTGTAACATTTTCATGCATTTAGTTTCTTTTTAAAGGGTAAAAGCAAACTCTGTAAATTTTGTTTTTGGCAAATCATATTACTATTACTAGTACTACTGTTCAAATGTTTAAGGTCAAGAAATGAATACTTTTATTCAGCAAGGACACATTAAAGATTTAATTTATAAAATGTATAGTGTATTTTATACATATATATATATATATATACACTTTTTTTTTTTTTTAAATGAATGCTGTTCTTTAGGATCCTGAAAAACATGTATCATGGTTTTCACAAAAATATTAAACGGCAAATGTTTTTAACACCGATAATAATAAGAGATGTTAATTGAGCACCAAATCCGCATATTACAATCTGAAGGATCATGTTACATTGAAGACTGGAGTAATGACTGCTGAAAATTCAGCTTTGCATCACAGGAAAAAAATAATTTTTTAAAAATATATTAAAATAGAAAAGTTATTTTAAATTGTAATAATATTTCACAATATTACGTTTTACGGTTTCTTTGATCAAGTAAATGCAGCCATAGTAAGCATAAGAGACTTCTTTCAAAAACATTAAATATTACCAACCCCGAACATTTTAACTGTAACTGTAGTGTACATATAAAATACATTCATTTATACTACTTAGTAAATATAATTGTATACAATACAGCTATATTATGCATATTATATATTAAAAGACCTTGACAAGAGGTGCTCTCACATATTTTATTTTTGCAAAAACAGAATCCAAAAGAAACCTACAATAATTAATAATTAATTAGTTTAGCAAATAACAAATAAACATTTTCTGCTTGTAAATGTTTAACAAAGATGTATTTGGAGGTGAAATGCTACTTGTTGAGCTTTCAGTCTTTAGTGCACTTTCGTTTATGGTGCTGTAACTGTATTTTATTGCTTTGCCCAATATGTACAGTAATATTTACTCAACTGTTAACCATGTTAACCATTAATCCACAGTGTTGAATTTGTTGATAGCTTTATATATAAGATAGAAATTGTACTTTTAAATCTGGGTTTGCAATCTAACTGAGAAAAAATTTACATGTATCTCCTTGTGATCTCCAGACTGAGCTAGTTTCCAAGGTGGAGAAGATGCGTCAGAGTATCCTGGAAGGTCTGAACTTCTCTCGGCCACCCCAGCCGATCGCATTCCCCCCTCCACCTCCACACGCAATGCCTTTCTACCCCCCCAACAGCACCTTCTACCCTCCACCTCCTCTGCCCCCACTGCAGGGTAGAGGCAGGGGCATGCCTGGTAAGAATGATTGTTAGACTAATTGGCAAACGTAAGCAAAATACCAAACAGCTTTTCGTTAGTAATTGATTATTTCGAGTTTAGTTGTGAAAACGTTTAAACAAAAATAATACTCTTTTAGAAGTAACATGTTAATACCATGTTTACTACTAGGTTGTAAAAGTGAGAAACAATTACTGAGTGGTTTTGTGAACTTGGTCAATCGATTCTTTGCTAGGGGTGTGCGATATATATCATCTGCGATAATATCTTAATTGTTGTTTTAACGATGTGCGATTTGACATTATCGAGTATTTAGCAAAAACCATGCCCCTATTATGGATTTTTGAAAATGACCTTTCATGCAGTGTGTATCACAGCTCTAAGTGAATGAAAACATCCTGCAAAGTTTTAAATCTGAAAGTGCACCGTGTATAAAGTTATTGTCTCTCAAAAGAAAGAGACTCTGAGTCATTGAAACTAGTCGTTTTTAAAACAAATCCCAAGCTGTTTCAAGTTGACGTCAACATGAAACATTAGTATATTGCCCGCCCACTTGTAGGTCTTTTCGCGTTGGTCTGAATGAAAAATGCAAATTCATTCTTTGCCACTAGGTGCTGCTTTTGGAGCTGTAAAAATAGCGGTTTCCCCGGTAACGCTGTACACAAAGCAGCACTGCGCTCACAAACGCTGCTTTATCAGGCATTACAGGCAAGATAGTGGTAGAAATTGTGATTCTTTCAAGAGATTTGTTCATTTTCAGTTCGTTCACCAAAATGATTCGTTCACTGATTCGTTCAGTGACCATTTCTTCAAGTTACATAAATATGCCAGCAGGTGGCGAAAAAGAGTGTCTTATGTGTTATGTCTTAAGTAAACGAACGTATTTACTTGTTACAAAAAACTGATTTGGCTTTATTAAAATGTGTGCATAATCTACTCATTAAATAAATAAAATCTAAATAAGTTGTTCAGATGACCAAAGCACAAGGTTTTCTTGCATAATTAACATTTGAATTGTTTGGTCAGACATTTACACATTCCTAAATCGGGGTTTAAACGTGGAGTTATGTTCTGTATGCTAAATATGAATATATAAACAAGCGTATGTGCACAGTACCTATAACTGCGCTTTGCATCCGCTTTCTGCTGATTGCTGATCGAGATTGACTCACATGCTAAATGGCCGACTGACCCGGTACACATTCATTTCGTTCACGAACGAGATGTGTACCAGTTCAGTCATTTCATTCACGAACGAGATGTACCAGTTCATTCAACTCGTTCACGAACGACATGTACCAGTTCGGTCATTTCGTTCACAAACGAGAAGATCTCTCTCGTTCAGAGTCAAAAGAAACTCATTCAGTGAAGGGCGTATTCATTCACTACATTCAACAAATCACATGCTCTGTCACATCTCATACTCGAAGGCTATTGGCTCGTTGTTTAATCATTATTTGACAGGATGAAACCGTCCACAGAGCTACCTGGTTCACTGAGCTGCACATGCACTGCTAATAGCACCGTGCTGTTCTGGAGGGTGGAATTTCAGTGAACGAGAAATATGAGTCAATGATTACGTGAACGAGAACGATTCGTTCACCTAAAAGATTCATTCAAAAAGAACGATTCGTTCACGAACATAACATCACCGAGGCAAGATTAAATGAAAATGAGACCAATCGGACCAATCATTGCAGATTAGCGTCACGCAAAGGAGGGGTTTGGAAAAATGAATCGTTGAGTGAATCGTCTGGGAGTCGTTGAGCAAGTAAGGTAAAAATAAATGCATATTATAAGACAATGAAAGTGTTTTTTGACCTTGCATGCATGTCAACCTGTTGTTGGAGACTCCCAAAACCAAAAATATGAACCTTTCATTACCCATAATAGGGGCACTTTAAAACACCCAAAGGGTGCATTTCACGCATTACGTGAAGTCTAGACTCGTGCGCGTTTAGAGTGAGTTCTTTCACTGCATGATTCAGTCTATAAAACTACATTTAGAATGATCACAAATTCAAGATATGAGGGCAGAAAATGTATATATTAATACCACTTCATATAGTTAATCAATTTTACATGAAGAGTGCCGTTTTTTTTCCTCCAAAAATTACCATAATTACAAATGTGATTAGATTTTTTACAATTCAATAAACAAGAAGGTAATTAAGAGACTTACGTTTTAGACACCATATTGCCTGTTTTTGCACTATTTCGACAACAAAAATAATTCCAAACACAGTCACAGCACTGTTTTGTGTCTCTGTGCAACATTAAGGTGTTTCGTTCCTGAATGAATCAACCGTTTCGGTTCAATCGCAATGACTCGCTTATTAACAGTGACTTGCTGCCACCTACTGGCAGTTTTAATTTCACATTTAAAGTGTCTTTTCATTTTTAAAATAATTTCAAATATCAGTATTCAATGTTTTATGTTTTATTTATCAAAACAGTATTTATGCATTTGTGACTGCAGGTTAAAACATTAATGTCCTGCATCAAACCGTGTGTAAATACATCTAAATGCCACTTCAGATGCAGATTCTGACTGTTTCCTCTGCATTGCAAAGGTTAATTTTGTTTATACTGATTTCATTTGCTTGGTAACAGCCCAAATGTCTTATTATTCTAATTCACTGATTAAATGTAAGAATTTGACTCAAAAGATAATG